CCCTCTGGCAACGTGTGAGACAAGCTGCTTGGTCACCCTGCGTGAAAGAAGCCCTGTGGGGAAGAGCCCTGGGCACGCACGCAGTGAGCAGTCATCCTGAAGAAGGCAGCATTCGACACGATGGTCGCGTGAAAGACCCCACATCCAGCTCCATTGCTGCCGGCTCCAGCCTCCACCTCGGTCCTGAGCATGAGCACTGAACCCCTTCTCAGCTGCCCTCTGCAGACACAGACCCCTCCTGGGCTGGCAGCTGGAAAAGCAAAACATCCTTACACCCAGCTTGGGTCCGAGAGGAGCAGGAGGGCGAACAGGGACTCTGCCGACCCCGACCACAGTCACCGAGCTAGAGGCAGGCACGTTCCCTGGGTTCACCACTCAGCTGGACACGAACTCCCCAACATGCCAGAGCCCAGCCGACTCCTGCAAGGAGACCCTGCCCAGTGCTCCCCATGCTGCGACCATCCCAAACAGTATACTGCAAAAGGCTTGTTCACTGCTGCGCGGTCTGTCCCGTCGCAGGGACGCAGACCCCTCGGATCCCCAGCTCCCCCACGTCACAGCGTGTCTTGGCTGCAGGTGCCACGCAACTCTTTCACCAGGAGCTGGTACCTTCCAGCTGAGCAAGTCCAGACACTCTGTAGGTGTCTTTGGGTCTCCCAGCCCATCACAGACACACGTACACTGTGCTTCGGGGGGGGCAGGGCAGAAGGGAAGAGGGGTGAAACAGGGATGAATGAAAACTATGAATTCCAGTGTCCAGGACTAGCCCAGACAGCCTGAGCCAGCAGTTGTCCAGCAGTGTAGCAGGAAGAATAAAAGCCTGAGGGCTGGTCAGCGGTGCCTGTCCCCAGCGTCGCAGCAAGACCCTTCTCAGGACTCGCAGCGCACTGAGATGCTCCAAGCAGCAGAGCTCTGCTGTGAGTCTCTTGCCCAGAGGGGGCACACAGAAGTCTCCAAATCTTTTAATAAAGGCAGAGGAGCAGCCCACCTTAGACATTATTGTATTGCAACCTCCTCGCACATACATCCTTGATTATCCTTGGTTTCACCTCTCCACTGCCTCTCTGCACTGGTGCATAGCACATGCACCCTCAGGCCCCGCTGTGAGAAGAACATTTGGTTCAGGAGGTCTTCAAGGGGCAGCAGAGCTATCTTAGCAACATGCCTGCTCCTGCAGGAAGCTGGCAGCAAAAAAAAAAAAACAAAAACTGTCAGTGAGTTTCCAGAGAGGAGCTACAGCCTGAAAGAGCCCAGGCTCCAGCATGTCAGTGTCAGAGGGGACAGACACCTCTTCCTGCTCCCAACTCCCCACTCGCCTGCTGCCAGCAAGTACCTTGCCTGTGCTGGGAGGGACGACCCGTGTCCTCTCTGCGCACAGCCTGCCCTAAGCAGCAGCAGAGCTCACCATCCCTGCACAAAACTGCTTTCTCTGTTCGCAATCTGCTCCCGCCGTACCCTGGTGTCAGTGTTCTGGCAGAGACCAAGCAGGGCTTGGAGCAGACATCAAAACTGCTCCTTCGCTAGAGAAAGGGGTGGGGGTCTCTTGCCCCTTTGCTCTGCAGACACAGAGCAACTCTGGGAAACTGCACGAAGCTAGAAGCCCGCAATTTTAACTGACAGATCAAAACTGCTACTGGGCTGAGTGAGTCTCTTTAGCTGCCTTGACAAACCCCTCGCTTCCTTCCTCCCGTCACCTGGCCTTTCGATACCCCCCTCCCTAACCTGTCAGGGCAAACAGCAGATTCCTGGCCCCCAAAGTTGTCCTCTCTTGGGCAGACTGTGTCTTCTGCTGACTGCACATGGATTTGACTGCCCTGTGTCATCTCTTCCCCCACCCCTCTGCCCCAAATGCAAACAGCACTCGCTGCCACAAGCACAGGCATCTGGATACAGGGCTGCTTGCCCAAGTGCCACTGACCTTTTTCTTCCGCCTGCGCTTGCGGTTGGATTCCTCCTTCTCCTTCTGCTCCTGCAGAGCCTGAGCCTCAATATCTTTGATTTTCTTCAGCTGCTTAGCTGCTTGAGCCATGGCTGGTCAGACTGCAGTTCCCTCTGGAGCTCACACCTGCACTTTCCACGCAGCGCCCTCTGATTCCTGGCCAAGAAAGTCCCTTCCCCTAGCTCAAATGCTCTCGACCCAGATGAGAGTGAAACCAGCAATGAGAGGAAAAAATGGAAAGCAGTCAGCAAGCCCCAAAGGGCAGCCGATGTCTCCAGCCAATTGCTAGATGGAGTCTGGGACACCTTTACAAAGCAGTAATAATCCTAAATCCAGCTGTTCCAGAGGTTCTGTGCACCACTGCAGCAGCCCCTGACTGCACTGGCACATCATGCAGAATCCTCCTTGTGGGACAGGATGCCGGGCTGGTGCTGTGCTCTCCCTCCCTGTCTCTCCTGCAGCACGAGAAGAGATGCAGGCAGTCAGCCACAGGAAGGAAAATAACTCTCAGCAATTAATGCAAGATGACAGTAGAGAAGCAGTGAAAAAGGAGGCTGATGCATTTCATCCCGGCTTCTGGGTTCTCTGTAGCAATGGATAAAGAGCAGTACCCTGCATGTAGTCAGGCAGTGGCTTTACCACTGCAGTGCTGCCGAGGCAGGCACATATTCCAGTCTCTCCAATTTTCTTCCTCTCAGTCACTCTCCGTGCAGCAGCCGCATCACTCGCTCACTCTCTGGGTTATGATTCCAGCTCCTTTCAAGGGGAGCAATAAGGAATCGCTGCATCAGTTAGGAGGCAGGCAGCATCTCTGCTCAGAAAACAGTCAATACTGCAAAGGATGTGCCAAGTACTGGAGCAAAGTGCAGCCTAACAGCATCCTTTCCTCCTCACATTTCTCCACTGAGTGAGCAGCAAGGGGAGGGGGAGGGATCTTGGCTGTGAATGGGAGACAGAAACCAAGGGATCAGTCTGCTCTTTGACTACACAGCACCAGAAAAGTAAACCAGAGCCGCCAGCTCCTGCCCATCCAGGCATCACCAGAGCTCAAGCCCTCCCTGAGAGTCCCCAGACAAGGCTCCCGGAGAGTCACCCACTCCTCCTCCACACACATCCATACATTTCACCTGCAGCTGCCTTCCAAAAGCACAAATAATTCCACGGGGGGAGCCGGGGGCAGGCCTGGGGGTGTAACTTTGATTCCTGCACGCAGAATCAGTGCGGTGGGGGCCAGGATAAAACTGGGGTGGACTCTGGTGGTGACCATAACATGACCTGCAGCAAACAGGCACTTCTGAGCAGCCCTGCCTTTACCAGCTCGATTCTTGTCCCTCAGAAAAACTGTCCCCTATGTGCAAACCCATGGGCAAAGCACCGGGAAAATTATCTACCAGCTGGAAGCCCTGCACACGCTGCACTTTTCTGGCACGGTCTCCCCAGTTCTAGACAGAAAGGGTCCCTTTTGTGTCAAAAAATGGTGAAGCAGGGATTAACATCCCTTTCTCAGCAACTACTTGACAGTCACTTACAGGTTATTTAGACTGGCAAGAAGCTGAGATTCAGACAACTGTATAGACACTATAGGTCACTTTTCTGTCTAAGTAAGTTTTCCTACATTTCTTTTCTTTGAAGTTCCTCCAATTCTGTTGCTTCACCCACAGACCAAGGAGGGTGCTAAAAAACAGGAAAAAGACTGGCATATCTTACAGTTTTTAAATAATATGATGACTGAGAGTATAGAGAAGGTCCTAACAAAATATGAAGAATAGGAAATACTCAAATTTTACAAGGCTTTTCCAAGGACAGTTTTAGTTCGGTGTGCTGTACCCACATGGATAAATAATACACTCAAGTCTAAACACAGCTGCACACCTTTATATAGCAACATCCTATGAATGCCCATGCAAAAAAAAAATTTACAAAATGAAATAGAAGCTGCATAGTGAAAGGCTCCCCAGAGAGGAGGTGACAGGCGCGCAGCTGCACTAGTCATCCTCATTGTGGCTCTTCCACATGAGCATTTTGCTGGCCAAATAAGGCAGAGGCCAAACACCAAAAAATGACCCTTGGTCAACAACAGGCACCCAGGAGGCAAAGCAGTTGTCACAATTATCCATAATACGCAGAGAGCTCCTCACTTCTGTATGTCTGACTTGCATCCTAAACCAGCTCTCTGCTAGTTTAGAATTCTTCATGAAGTATTTTCTAATTTTTCAAAACAGGGAACTCAGGAACGAAACCAAGTTCTCTGTGTGCAGCAGCATCAGTTCCCCCCACACGTGCTCACGGGTGTCCGAGCCCCAGCCCCCCTGCCCCAAGCTGGGCACCCCGCGGCTCCGCATCTGGTCCCCACCCAGGTCCTGCCCTCCGAGCCCTGGGACCGGCGGGGTCAGACCTCAGAAACCCACCCCTGCGGGCAGGGGCCGTGCCACGCTCCAGACCCCGGCACAGGGATCCCTTTGTCCTGATATCAGCAACTTCGCTTTCAGTGGCCCTGCTCGAGCAGGGGCTGGACCAGCCAGCTTCCAGAGACCCCTTCTGACCTCAGCCATCCTGCAGTTCTGTGACCCACGAAGGGACAGAACACACTAGCACAGCATCTCCAGACTAGACAAAAGGTTATAAAGAAGCATAGAAAATTGTGGCTGATACAGATAACACACACACACAAATATTCATTGTTTCACACAAAAGAAGAATCAGAGGCAACATTTGAAACAACTAAAACCCTCCATATTATTTCTATTCAACATAAAAATGAACTGTGGGATTCACTGCTGTGGGATGTTGTGAACACCAAGCCATACATGAGGGAGATCGATTTGAGCAGGATAGGTCCATCACAGGCTACTGAACGTGATGGTTTGTGCCCATTCTCCTTCTCTGGAGGCCCTTGAGGCACAGCTGGGTTAGAACGCTGGGAAGGGATGCTAAAGGGAAGGTGAGATAGAGAGGACCTTTCCAAAGGCTATTCCTGGTCACAGCATTTATCCCAAACCCCCTCCCTGTTGCCCTGTGCATTACTGCATGACTGATCACGGCTGGAAAAACACTTGACACATGAGTTGCAGTCCCCTAGTCCCTGCCTGCCCACAGAGCCGAGCTGAGACGTCTCCAGCAAGACTCCAGACAGCCCCAGGTTCAGACTCCATCTGCACGTTGGAGGGATTATTGATCTGATATGCTTTAGGGACATGCTGAAGGGCACCAAAAGCATCATCTGCCATCCCCAGAAAAGGAGGGTGCACTTGAGCAGATGAGTTGCTTTTACCAGTGCAGCTGAGAGGGATATCTGTGCTTTTCCAACGTCAGAAATGTTTCCCTGTTCAAATTCATTTTCCTCACCACCTTATCCAGAGTAATATCATATTCTTCAGCCCCTGGCTATAGCACAGTGATCTGTGGCTGTACACACACCGCCAGAACCTCCTGACAGCGCTACCCCAGAACATCAGAATTTTCTTTCTGCCTTCCTCCTGCAGCAGCGTTTGCTGCTTGGACTCGCCAACATCCGTGCAGCATTGGTGGGGAAGGCTCTTGAGGACAGTGGTCATGTTTCCTCACAGACCAGAGTGCCAGTCTCACAGCTGGACAGACAGAGAGATGATCAAGGCCATGGCCTCTGAAGACACTGTTTTTTCAGTGTCTTCCTTTGTCCCCAGTCTCTCAACCATCACCTGCTGACCAGGCAGGCCGTTCTGATCACTTTCTGAGGACCAAATTCTGTGATTTGCTTTGGTCTCAAGAGCTTGCTCACTAACACAAACCAAAGGAGGACAAGGACACGCCTAAAGCAACTGCAGTCTTGCCTACTTCAGGCTGCAGATTTTTATCAGAAGGGAACACAAAGCAACTTGAACCTGCTGCTCTGGAGAAAAGCTTCTCCCAGCACAACTGACCACAGCCCTGGTTCAAGAAATCTACTGTCCAGTAACAATTAAATTCTTCCTACATGACACCCTTTTCCCTTTCACCTCAAGATACCAGGGAGGATTTCATCCCTGCTGAGCTCTTAAGTCCAGAGCTGTCGTCCTGGTACAACCCTAGCTGACAGCACCTGAAGTTACATTCACTCTCTATCCTGAGGGGGTGGCCTGCCTACTGAGTGGTCCTTGGAGTCAGTGGTGGTTGTTTTTGAAACATCTGTCTTTAATTTTGAAAAGTCCGAGTTAATGGAAGTGGGTATCTCTGCCACACACATAAAATTGTCCTGTGCAGGGGCTTACACTGATGATGTTCTGAGTTATGGAGCATTTGGCCTCGGATTGACATGAAGCTTCCACGTGCTGTAGGTGTATGGCTGGTAGAAGGGACCTCAGAGATCTGCTGGACATGAAGAGAAGCTAATCTCCACCGTTTGTGCTCTTTCAGCAAGGGCTCAGGACAGGACAAGTGAGAAATGGACTTAGTAGTAATTTCACTTAACTCACCACATAATTTTTTTGTCCAACTGTGATTTTTCTCTTCTTTGGAGAAGTTGTTTGGGAAATACCTGTAACAGTAGATGTGTCATATCTTGTTGCTGCTTGTTCCTACAGGATAAAATGGGGAAACAGAGGATGACAGAATTTCGGTAAAGAGACCTCCTCCTTTAGCTGAAAGGTACCACGCACATACACTAGCCAACATGTTAGTAGAAAAGAAACTTTTCAAGAACCTTATTTAATTATTTGGCACAGAGCACCATATTTGCTGGAAAACAAATTATTTGTACTATGATAACTCTGGTATCTCAGTCAGAGACTGGCATTCTACCATGTGACACAAATGACAAACACACTGACAACCCAAAAAGTTCACAGGGTAAAGTATTTGGCAAGGGAGAACAAACAGATAGTGACAGGAGAACCCTTAGGAAAATAATCACACAAATTAACAAGGTCATTATGTGCCAATACAGAGCTGTCCTCCAGAACAGAACCTCCTATAAGGAAGGAAGCACAGAAACAAATTCCTGACTCTGCAAGGCACTGCAGCTCGTTAAACATGCAGCTGGACTCCTGCCCTGCTCTAGGTGAAGATCAGTGTTTGGTGAAGTTGCCCAGATTCTCTGTGTTAGGGGCAGAAGGATTTTACATTCAAAGCTAAAC